AGAGAGTCCCTGATGGAGCAGGAGAAAGGTGGGGTGCAGAACTCAAATTCTAGTAAGAAGACCAGACTTAATGGTCTGACTGAGATTGGAGGAACACCGGAAAGCATGGCCCCTGGATTCTCTATCGGCCCAGAACTAAAACAATTTCTCAGGCCAACTCTTCAGACAGGGATTGGATTGGACTGTGAGACATAAAGCGATACTCGTGAGGAGTGTGCCTCTTAGCTCAAATAGATACAAGAGACTAAACGGGCAGCTTCTGTCTGGAGGTGAAATGGGAAAGCAGAGAGGGTTAGGAGCTGGTTGAATGGACATGGGGAATTAGGGGTGGAAAGGAGGAGTGTGCTGTCACAGTATGGGGGAAAGTAATTAAGGTCACATAACCATGTAGGTATAAACTTTTGTATGGTACAAATTAAACAGAAAATCATAATTTCCACATGAATGAATTAATTTGAAGTATTTCTTAAATGCTTCAGTAAAGTAAATATTTAACATATCCATCCGCAAATAGGAACATTTCCCCAGCATTAAAAGATTTTCTAAATGAGTGAACATTCATGTTAACCAAAGTTTTACAACTTAGGATTTTTTCTGATAGCAGTCAGTTTCTAAAATGTTTTACATGCGCTTTGTCTTAAGCAGATTAAATACCACATGATTTATACCCTTCTTAATGACTCAGGATCATTAATATGAACATTAATTATGACTGCACTGTCGTACAGTGACACCCTCAGGGTGGGGAGGACTACTGTTGTGAAGAGGCCTAGGTCTGCCGGTAGTAGTAAATGGTCACAAACTGCAATGGTTTTGTATTCTCATTATCTTCTCTTTACAGAATTCTTTTTCCCTTTCCCACTGTCACTGTGACCAGGCCCATCCTCAGAAGCATATCCCTTTTCTCATCAATTTCCTATGTGTGCACACACAGCAAAGGTTAGAATCAAATAGAAACAAATGTTACAAAACCAAATAACCAAGTTTGTCACAGTTAAACCAAAATAAGGGTAAGTTGGATGCTGCATGAGGGTGTGAGGATCTTTTTATGGGTAAAGTACAAAACTTATGTACATTAAAAGTGTGACTTCTACTTCACTGTAAAGAACAAGATTTTATTTTTATTTGTTTCATTTGTCATTTATTTTTATATATTTTGTTTATGCGTATAATACTTCTAGATACATGGCCTTGAGATTACTGGCTAAATATCTTTTTAAAAAGTACAGTATCTCCAAACCAACTGGTATATCATCCATTACACCACTGGAAGAAAGTTCCTAGAATAAAAGTCATTCTAGTCTACTAGCAAAATTCCAGAAATCGCACTATCTGCCAATGCCTTGTTTTTGGCATTTAGATTTTGAAACTAATAGATGTCATGAACTTTCTTATCTTATACAGGTATTCTTCTCTTAACTTACATTTGTTGGAAAACACTTTCAATTCCGCAGTTCCTTTTTTATAATCCCATGTTCAGAAATATTCACCATGCAGTATTTTACAAATTGCATTTAAATAATAATTCAAGTGAACTCCAATCTTTATTAAAATACCTCTGATTGTATTTTGACTATAATACTAAACTTTACTCAATTAAGGTAATTATGTTAAGGTCTCAATTTATCTAACAATTGAGAAATGTATTTTAGGATTAATAACATTATCAAATATGTCAAAAAATATTTTAGTTATTTAGCCTTCCTTGTCAGATTTTCTTGCAAGAGGCATGCCCATATATTCTAACCCCATTCCATGACATTCCTTAACATAAGAAATCTCAGAGAAACAAAATTAGCACATCCTTCCCCTGCACCCACACCCTTGGAACAAACTTGGAGTGGACATCGCGAAGTGCCTCCCTGGTTCCTTACAACTTCTCTGCATAGTGAAAATGTCAATCCTACAGCTTTAAAAACAGCAAATTTTTAAAACCCCAACTATTAATATATATCAGCAATTACTCCAAATCCTTTAAATCAAACTGAGAACACACAGAAGTGAAGTCTGAATCTCAATCATACCTAATTCAGAGGTGGCAATTTCAGGAATAGTGATCCTAACCATGGAGCCGTTACTCAGTTCCTAGTGAGGTGAATGGAAACAAACAAGGAAAAGTAAATAGCATTTCTGCATTCTAAATCTTTAAATGTCTTAAGAATAGCTGATGATTTACAAGACTCTTTAGCAAAATTAAATAATATAAATGAAAAACAAACATTATTTTTCCAACAGAACTGAACACTTCCAAATTTAAAAAACTGTAATTGTGCTTATTTGAAAAATATTTTCCAAATTTTTTGTTTAAATAAAAGTGTCCAATTTTTATACAGACACTAAGTGTAATCATCATAAATAATAGGAGACTTTTTTTTGGCTGGCAATTTTTTTTTTAATTATTGTAAGGAAATTTACTTTTAATGAAAGGACAAAAATCACATCAACATACAATTTAATTGGTTCAACAAGCTTTTGTTTTTGATAAACTTAATAGTATAGTAAACTTTAGAAATCTTTAGCATAGTTACGTTAAGGTTATTTAAAGTAAAACAGTACAAAAATGACATATTACAAGAGATTTAAAAAATCATGAGGAATGTTTGATTTCATTTTTCAGACAATTCTGCATTCTGGCAAATTTAAAATGACAGCCATATTTCGTGGGAAGTTACTTAATCTTTAAAAAAAAATACTTACTAAAGTTACTCTGTTATGGACAGGGTCTCTTATAGAATGAATGTAAGTTCCAAGCTGTTGGAAAGTACAATCCTCATTATAGAGAGAATCATGAAGTTTTGAAGAATCCCTTAGTTCTGGAACTGGAGACAACAGAACAACCTGTAAAAGTCATAAACACAGCACAAATATTTTTTGAGAAATTGATTTTAAAAAAGTAACTATTTCTTTTTTTCACATGATATAACTATCAACTGTATGTAACAATTTAGAACTTGTGTCTGGGTAACTTCTGATCCAGCTATAATAAAATAGCTTGCAGCAGACCAAGCTTCTCACAGAAAATTAGAAAGATGGATAAAACATCTCATCAATGGCACGGGAAAGCTGTGGAGCCCAACTCGAACTTGAGGGGCCAAGATCTAACAGAATGGAACCACAGGTAAGTGGGCCAACATTCTTATACCGCCTTTCCCACTCTGGGGAGCTGCAGGTTTTAGTGTGGGGAGAATATGTCGATAGGCTGACAACGGGCAAGGACGGCCACGGCTAAGAGGAAGAGAAGGCAGCAGAACTTTTGGCAATCTCACAAGGCTAGAGACATAAATTGTAATTTGAGGTAGCCGAAGCAGGCATGACTTGAGGAACTAAGACCTCAGAGAGAAAGAAGAGAAATGAGAAAGCAAAACAATGACATTTAGTAGTACTTCCCCTACAGACAAGTGTTTATTCTGAAAATATAAGAACACTTCTTTGTTCAACTGTAGATATGTAAACAAAAATTTTAAATGATCTTTGTTACTAATTACATGTAGATGCTTCCTCTTTTAAAGCCCCAGTAATAATCACTGGCCCTTTTGTATTCATCTAATTCCATTTATAGGACTTCTCTAAGTGAATATCCTGTCAACACTGACAGTCAACCATACCTGAGATATATTTGTTATATTCCAGCTTCTACTCCAAGAGCTGCCAGAAAAAATTCAGCTCAGAGAAGTGGGAAAGCCATCAGCCAATGTGATAGAGAATAGTCTCCCTAGGATCTCAAGGCTTACATAAAGACATTCACTAACCATTCCTGGGAAACTGGAATTCTAAGAAAGCTAGGAACCATTTTTCATCACAAAAGACATTCTTTCAAATCACTCAAAACTCTCTGATGCTTCTTCAGCTTCCCTTCTGAAAGTTTTCAAACGTCCTGGCTTGAAGGTAAAAAGCCCACTTACTGCACACGCTAAAAAAAAAAAGAAAGAAAACCAGGGCCTAGAAATTCTCCAATACAATTGCCAGCACTAACCTTCACTTTGAACTGCCCCCTAAACATCTGCACTCAGATGTCCCTCAAGGGCAGACCTGCTCCTTCTCTAGGCTTCCTAACCTGGTAAAGTATGGGCATCCACTAGGTCACTCAGAAAGCTCGAGTCTTAATCCACATCATCTACCCCAGCCCAGCTGACAAACCGTCATTTCCACTAATTTTCTCCAGGGCCTCTCACATTCCTCTCCTCATTTCCACTGCCCTTGCTCACACCTTCCTAACAGCGCTCACACTGACACTAACAACCACACGTGGAGTCTAACTCATCTCCCTGTCTTCAATCCCAAGATAAATCTTCCTAAAACATAAATCAAAACACTCATCACTTCTCCCTCAAAAACCTGTAGTGCTCTGGCAATTGCATTAAGCATAAAAACTTCCTTTTCATCCTTTCTTCCTTTAAGAGCACTTTGACTCTACCACTTATTAGCTCTATGTCCTTAGACAAGTAATGTCTATGTACCTGAGTTTCGTAACAGTATCTTCCCAATAAAGTCTTCCTAGGGATTAAACATGTAAAAAGCACTTAGAAAAGTGTCTAGCACACAGAAAATGCTCAAAAAACAGTTATTGTTGTTATTATTACCCCTCCCTCTGCTCTGCCTCACCTAAAAGACTATTTGCACTTTTATAAGAGTTCACTCAGTCCACAGATTTGTTGAGTCCTTAACTTGTGCACTAGGGAGTGGAGACAGGGACATGCATAAAAAATATTCTGCACTCTCCTGCCTTCATGCCTGTGCCTGTGTGATTCCTTTTTGCCCCTGATGCCCCTTTCTACCTACAAATATCCTGCTTATCCTCAAGGTCCAAACCAAGTCAGCCATGCCTCTCAGAGATGAGGCTTTAGTTCTGCCACATCATCCCATCAGGATGTGTCTTGCCATCATTTAATCTACTATGGTACTTTCTGTTCCTCATTCATAGATCTTAACAGTCTACTTTAAATTATACTTCCTTATCCAGATAGTACATCTACTCTACCCAAGTAAACTGTGAGATCTCTATATGGAAGAGAACGTATCGTTTTCATCCTGTGCAGCCCTTTGAAAAAGTGCCTCACCGCTAGAGAGGTCGATGCATGCTTACTGAATCATTTGGGTTGAAGACATTTCCTATACAAGTATTAGCAAGATTTCCAATTTTGTCACTTTTAAAACAAAAAAAAAAAGTTAACCATGGAAAAAACGAATATCTGATGAAACGTCTTTAAAACAATATTAATTTTTGGTAACACCTAACTCATTTCTTACCTCATCCAAGGATGTAAGTAGTTTACTAAGAGGCTTTGGAGTACTGATGCTGTCAAGTGGAGTGCTGGGCCGTGGCATTGTGTTGGACATTGTCAAGGAAGGAGCTGGCAGTCCAGGAATAAAAACCTTTCCTACCTTTGAACAATAAAGAGAAGTATAAAAATAATACTGGTTTTAATATATCATATCCTTAAATAAAAATGCAAAGGCATGTAAGCATGTATTTCTTTTGATATTTTAAAGTTTATGCCAGGATGTACAAGTGAATCAGAACAAACTGACAGCCTACTGTAACAGAATATTTAAATAGAAGACTAAAGTCTCATTTAAAAAATACTTTAAATATCCAGGATACAATACAAATTTACTCATCATATCATGAGCCACAAAAACCTAAAAGTGAATGAGAAAAAGAAATCAATAGAAACCAACAGGAAAATGACACAAACGTTGGAAACTGATGCAAATGAAAACAGAAGATCAATACAGAAAAATCAATGACACCAAAAGCTGATTCACTGAAAAGATCAATAAAGTTGATAAACCCCTAGTAACGCTGACAAAGAAAAAAAGGAAAAAAAAATTACTAGTAACAGGAAAAAAGGAAAGGATATCAGTGCATGCCACCATAGACATTTAAAAAGATAACAGGAGAACACGGCAAGTCTATGTCCATCAGTTTGACAATTTAGACAAAAAGGAGTAATTTCCAAAAAAAACCAGAGGCTACCAACACTGACCAAAGATGAAACAGGTATTAGTAAAGAAACCAAATTTGAAGTTGAAAACCTTCCAAAATAAAAATCTGCAGGCACAGACGATTTCACTGGAGAATTATAACAAATATTTAAAGAAAAAATGAAACAATTCTACACCATCTCCTCCAGTTTACAACAGAGCATTCCCCTAACGCAAAAGCCAAAGACAGCACAACAAAAGAAACCTAGACTAACATATCCCGTTAATACAACACCAAAATCCTCAACAAAAGATTAGCAAGTCAAATCCTGCAGTATATTAAAAGATAATACACCATAAGCAAATCTATCAATATTATCTCATATTAAGAAAAAATACGTGATCATACCAAATGATACAGAAAAAGCATTTGACAAAATACAGTACCAACTGTTCATTTAAAAAAAAAATCAGTAATCCAGAAATAGAGGGAAATTTCCTTAAGTTGATAGAGTGTTTACCAAAAACCTAAAAATAATACACATAACGAAAATACAGACAAATCTACAATTATACAGGGAGACTTAAAAAGTCCTCTCAGAGGGCAGGAGTGGGGAGGGAAAATCACTAACTAGATAATTAGACAAATATTAACTTTAGTGGAGCCCTGGTGGCACAGTGGTTGGAAGCCTGACTACTAACCAAAAGACTGGCAGTTTGATTTCACCAGCCACTCCTTGGAAACACTATGGGGCAGTTCTTCTCTGTCCTATAAGTTTGCTATGAGTCGGAATCAACTCGACGGCAACGGGTTTGGTTTCTGTTGGTATTAACTTTGGTGAAGGGAAAGGCAACACACAATATAGGGGAAGTCAGCACACCTTGACGAAGGCAAAGTCATAAAAGCTTCCTAGACACATCCAAACACCATAAGGGACCGAGTTACTGAGACTGAGGGCTGAGGACCACGGTTTCAGGAACATCTAGGTCAGCTGGCATAACATAGTTCATAAAGAAAATGTTCTACATCCTGCTATGCTGAGTGGCATCTGGGGCCTTAAAAGCTTGTGAGCAGCCATCTAAGATACATCTGGAGCAAAGGATGATGAACAATACCAAAGACACAAGGAAAATACTAGTCCAAAGGACTAACAGACCACATGAACCACAGACTCCACCAGCCTGAGACCAGAAGAACTAGATGGTGCCTGTCTACCACTACCGACCACTCTGACAGGGATCACAACAGAGAGCCTCAGATGGAGCGGGAGAAAAATGTAGAACAAAATTCAAATTCACAAAAAAAGACCAGACTTACTGGAGGATCCCGAGATTACGGCCCCCAGGCACCCTGCTAACTCAGAACTGAAGCCACTCCCAAAGTTCACCTTTCAGCCAAAGATTAGAGAGGCCTAGAAAACACACACTAACACACGTGAGGAACATGCTGATTAGTTCAATCAAGTATATGAGACCAAATGGGCAACAACTGCCTAAAAACTAAGACGAGAAGGCAGGAAGGGACAGGAAAACTGGATGGGTGGACACTGAGAACCCAGGGTGGAAAGGAAAAGGGGAAGAGTGATGACACATTGTGGGGATTGCAACCAATGTCACAAAACAATTTGTGTTTAAAACTTTTGAATGAAAAACTAATTTGCACTGTAAATTTTCAACTAAAACAAAACTTTTAAAAAAGTCCTCTCAGGTACTGATAAAAAAAATAAAAAGACACTGCCAACACTGCAGAAGATTTGAACAACACTATCAGCCAAACTGAACTAATGGACATTTATAAAATACTCCACCAAATAGCAGCAAAATATACATTGCTTTCAAGTGTATAGACCATTCACCAAAATAAAACCATATTCTGGTACATGAAACTGAAACAGACTTCAAATAATTGAAGTCATATAAATTACATTTCCTAAATATAAGAGAATTAGTATTAGTAACTAATAAGAGAAAGATATTTGGGGAAAAAAATCCCCCAAATTCTGGAAATTTAGCAAAACATTTTAAAAATCCTATGGGTAAAAAAAGAATTCAAAGGGAAATTAGAAAATACATTGATTTAAATAAAAATAAAATTACACATTACCAAATCTGCTGAATGCAGATAAACAAGTGGTGAGAAGAAAATTTACAGCAATAATTACGTATCAGGAAAAAAGGCCTGAAATCAATGAGCAAAGCTTACACCTTGTCTTAGTTAGCCAGTGCTGCTGTAACAGAAAAACCACAGTGGATGGCTTTAACAAAGAGAAACTTATTCTCTCACAGTTTAGGATGCTAGTACTCCAAATTCAGGGTGTCAGCTCCAGGGGAAGGCTTTCTCTCTCTGGCGGAAGGTCTTTGTCATCAATCTTCCCCCGGGTCCAAAGAATGCACAGCACTTCCAGCTCTGCTTTCTTGGTGATAGGAGGTCCCCCTGTACCTCTGCTCACTTCTTTTATATCTCAAAAGAGATTGACTCAAGATACTATCTAATCTTGTAGACTGGGTACTCTAATCTTGTCTCATTAACATTACAAAGTTAGGATTTACAACACATAGGAAAATCACATCAGATGACAAAATGGTAGACAATAACACAATACTGGGAATCTGGCCTAGCCAAGTTGACACACATTTTGGGGGGACACAATTAAATACATAGCACACCTTAAAAAAAAAAAAAACTCATTGCCGTCGAGTCGATTCTGACTCATAGTGACCCTACAGGACAGAGTAAAACTGCCCCACAGGGTTTCCAAGGAACTGCTGGTGGACTCCAACTGCCAATCTTTCGGTTAGCAGCCTAAGCTCTTAACCACTGTGCCATCAGCTCTTTTAATACACCTTAAGAAACTAGAAAAAGAGTAAATTAAAACAGACGTAAGTAGTATGAAGAAAACAATAAAATAACAGAAATAAAATCACAAGCAAAAAATAAAAATCAATTAAACAAAAGCAGGTTCACTGAAAAGATCAGTAAAAGTGATAAAGGTGTAGCCAGATTGATCAAAAATCAAAAAACAAAAAAAAAGAGGGGAGGAAGGACACATATGAGCAATATCACAAAAGAAACAGGGAACAGCATTGAAAAGATTCTATAGACACTAAATGTATAATAATAATATTCTGAAAAACTTTATGCCTATAAAGTCAAAAAGTTAGATGAAATGGACAAATTTCTTAAAAGACTCAAACCACCAAAGTTCACTCAAGAAAACAGATATCTTGAATAGTCCTATATTACGAAACAACTTGTAGTTTAAAACCTTCCAACCAAAAACACTCCGTGCCCTGATTGTATCACTAGCAAATTCTACCTAATATTTAAGCAAGAAACAACACCAATTCTAAACAATTCATTCTAGAATATAGAAGAAAACTGTTTTAGTTATGTAGTGCTGTTATAACAGAAATACCACAAGTAGATGGCTTTAACAAATAGACGTTTGTTCTCTCACAGTTTAGGAGGCTAGAAGTCTGAATTCAGGGCCCCAGCTCCAGGGGAAGTCTTTCTCTCTCTGCCGGCTCTGGAGGAAGTTCCTTGTCATCAATTTCCCCCTGGTCTAAGAGTTTCTCAGCACAGGGACCCAGGACCAAAGGATATGCTCAGCTCCTGGCACTACTTTCTTGGTGTTATGAGGTCCCCCGTCTCTACTTGCTTCTCTCTTTTATATCTCAAAAGAGACTGACTCAAGACACAACCTAATCTTGCAGATTGAGTCCTGCCCATTAACATAACTGCCTCTAATCCTGCCTCATTAACATCATGTTGTTGTTAGGTGCCGTGGCGTCGATTCCGACTTACAGTGGCCCTCTATAGGACAGAGTTGAACAGCCACAAAGGGTTTCCAAGGAGCGGCTGGTGGATTTGAACTGACGACCTTTTGGTTAGCAGCCGAGTTCTTAACCACTACACCATCAGGGCTCGCATTAACGTCATAGACGTAGAATTTACAACACACTGGAAAATCACATAAGATGACAAAATTGTGGACAATCCCACAATACTGGGAATCAAGGACTAGCCAAGTTGACACACATTTTGCAGGGAACACAATTCAATCTATAACAAGAAGAAAATACTTGTAAACTCATTTGTGAGGCCAACATTACCCTGATACCAAAACCAAATAAAGACATTTCAAGAACAGAAAAATAAAAGCCAATAACCTTCAGAAATATGGAAGCAAAAACTTTTTAACAATATATGAGCAAACTGAATCCAACAATATATAAATAGGATAATACAACATAATGAAGTGTGGTTTATTCCAGAAATGCAACGCCGTTGTAACACTAGAAAATCAGTCTATTATGATTAACCATATCAACACACACATCTAAACATGAGGAAAAAATCCTTTGATAAGACTCAACATACATTCATGATAACACACTCTAAGCAAACTACTAATACAAAAAAACTCCTTAAACCTTTTAAAGGGTAGTTATAAAAA